TCCTAGAATTACTAACTACACAGTTCATTTAAGTCCAGAACTATGGGGGTCATTTTGCTTTGTGGAGGAAGTGTACCTGGGATCTCACGAGGCCAAAGCAGAAGAGAACAGAACAGCCAAGAAACAATTTCTGACCACTCTGATTTTTGTTTCAAAATCCAAATCAGCTGTTCCTGAAACTTTCTTTAAAAATGACTTTGGGGGGGCATCTGGGTGGCTCAGTGGGTTAAGCCTCTGCCTTCGGCTCAGTTCATGATCTCGGGGTCCTGGGATCAAGCACTGCATCGGGCTCTCTGCTCAGCAGGGAGCCTGCTTTCCCCTCTTTCTCTGCCTGCCTCTCTGTCTACTTGTGATCTCTCTCTCTCTCTGTCAAATAAATAAATAAAATCTTTTAAAAAATAAATAAATAAATAAATAAAATTTTTTTAAGAAATGACTTTGGGGTCACTGAGTGATGTAGTTGCTTAAGTCTGCAGTCAGACTCTTGGTTTCAGCTCAGGTCATGATCTCAGGTACATGAGACAGAGCCCTGCATGGAGCTCCACACTCAGTGTAAAGCCTGGTCAAGGTTCTTTCCCTTCCTTCTCCCTCCCTCTATGCTCCTCCCCCTACTCAAGGTCCTGACGCCCTTCCTGGCTCTCTCTAAAAAAAATAAATTAGTTAAACCTTTAAAAAATAAATATAAGGGGTGTCTGGGTGGCTCTGGGGGTTAAAGCCTCTGCCTTTGGCTCAGGTAGTGATCTTAGGGTCCTGGGATCTGGCCCCACATCGAGCTCCCTGCTCAGTGGGGAGCCTGCTTCCCCCCCCACCTGCCTGCCTCTCTGCCTACTTATGATCTCTGTCAAATAAATAAAATCTTAAAATAATAATAATAATAAATATAAAATACAATAAAAACTACTTTGAATTAAGTTTATCACTTATGACTGGAAGAGTCCTGAACAATCTCAAAATATTTTGGTAATGTTTTCATAAAGAACAAAACCAAAACCCAAAATCATTTGCCCCAAAACATGTTCCTATCATCAGTTTAGGGACCGGTAACTTCACACAACTGTATCATTGTGTTTAATGAGTACAGGGAATACAACTGAATTATGTTACTCCATCAGATATATAAGAGATTCCTGCTGAAGTCACACTTTTCACCTTCATAGGTGTCTGTCTTAGAAAAGCAAAAGGTTGGGGCACCTGGGTGGCTCAGTGGGTTGAGCCTCTGCCTTCGGCTCAGGTCGTGATCCCAGGGTCCAGGGATGGAGTCCTGCAACGGACTCTCTGCTCAGCAGGGAGCCTGCTTCCCCTCTCCTCCACCCCCCACCCGCCTGCCTCTCTGCCTACTTGTGATCTCTGTCTGTCAAATAAATAAATAAAATCTTTAAAAAAAAAAAAAAGGCAAAAGGTTGAAGAACTGAAGAAACAATACTGAGGAACCAACACATTTAGCTTGTTTACCTCCCACTTAAAGTTTATTCTTTGTTTTTTTCTAAGATTTATCTATTTTGACAGAGAGAGCACATACACATGAGCAAGCAAGCAGGGGAAGGAGCAGAGGTGGACAGAAAGGGAGAGGGAAAGAATCCCAAGCAGACTCCACACTGAGCAGGGCATGGGGCTCAATCTCATGACCTGAGCCAAAACCAAGAGGCTCTTAACTGACTGAACCACCCAGGTGCCACTAAGGTTTATTTATTTATTTATTTTTTAAAGGTTTATTCTTAAAATAGGTTCTAAACCAGAGGAGAGCTTTACACATGAAATTAAATATTGGTATTTGGTTTGGGGTGGTTTTTAGTTTTTTATCCTTTGGGAAAGTGGAGCAGATAGGAAAAGGGAATGCTATCTACTCTAAAATAGTTAAACCACTGTAAAGCAGGCAAGCCAGCAAGGAATGAACCCATGATATTAAGTCTACCTACTGGGAATAATTAGGAGAGAGAAGAAAACATCATATTTAATTCTCTCCTTTTGGAAAAAGATTAAATATGCTTCATAAAATATTTCAAAGCAATAGCTTTCTAAGAATATTTTTCTCTAAAGTACCACACTAAAGGTATTAAACAGTCATACCTCAACATTACTATTTCATAAATTTGCTACCTATAAAAAAGAAAAATTTGTTCTTACTGTTGACGTAACTGGCGGCAACTCTCAATATGAGTAGATGTATTTTGATGCTGAATCCAACCCTATTGTGAAAGGAGAAAAGCGCTGAAATTAGAATATTCCTCACACTATGAAATTAGGCTTTTAAAAAATGACACAGGATTCTTTTTTCAAAAATTAACAAATGTAGTTATAAATAACATTTGACTACTCAATAATATTTCACAAAAATAAAGTACCTCCAAACAAAGGTACTTAATACCAGACCTTATTGATGCCATTTTGAAACATTTTAGTATAGAAAACATTTAAAAAATCATACCCATACCCATGGATACTCATTTTGAAATCAAATATATATTTAACCTTGGAAAAAATACAAGCATTTTTCAGAAATAATTCATCTTACATATAAAAATACTCCAGAAAACACCAAAAACTCCATAAATAAAATAGTATCTGAAATGGCATCTCAAAAATATAGTATCAATAACTTGTATCTCTAAATTCAAGCTAACAACATCAACAACAAAAAATCCTACCTCTTAGGCCAGTACCATTCCAAACAAGGTACCCACTATATTGACAAAGGATAAGATTAGTAAAAATATGAAAAACTGCTGATTAGATCTAATTTATTTTCAGGATTTAAGGGAAAGTAACACCATTTCAAAGACACAATATCCCTTACATAGAGCTTTACAATGAACAAAATGCGTTTTTAATACATTACTTCATTTACAAATCTGCCCTAAAATTACATTGTGTACCCACAAACAGCTCCTGGAAGATACATCTGATTAAAATTTTTAGAAAAGACAATGTACAGTTTTCAAAGATACAGTCTCCCAAGTGAAACAGTTAAAAGCAATGTGTATTATTACTCAATGTTTTATTGTTTCTCTGACATTTGGATAGGTAAAAAAAACTTACTCAACAGTTCTGTATTTTAAAATGTTACTTGAGGAAAATGTTATTCATATCCATTTCAAAAACATTTTAGTATGGCACTGCTACGATCTAGAAGTTTCCACAGTTAAAACCACAGTTGACACTAATTTTGCAATCTGTCTTGTCAAGAACTATCTGAAGACAAGTGCATGCTATTTATAATACTCAGCAACAGGTTAGGAAAAACCCTAAACTACTTCATTAAGCCATGAAACTAACTGTGGATTGCAAAAAAGAAATGTTTGCATATCCCGCTCAATGGTACAAATAGAAAGCTAGAAGAGATTGGCAGTGAAGAGTCTCTAGTACTGCTGAACCCATGTCTTTGACATTAACTGGACATTGTTTACATCAAAGAGACACAGTGGCAAATAGTGGTTGGGCATAATTTATTTACACCATAAAGCATTTTATTTGAATAAGTTGCCATCATTTAAAAATCCAGTGATTTCTACCCCCAAATCCAAACTTTCAGCTTTTCTTGAAAAAACAATACTGGACATGTATTCTGTATAGCAAGTATCAGCTGATGCTGATAGCTGCCCTATTTAAGGCATACTCTCCAGTTCTATACATACAAACATTCATATATATATATATGCATATGTACACACACACACACACACACACACACAGAGTACTATTTAACAGGCCCACTTCACTCACTGATATCACTTGCTTTAAGCTCAATAAATACACCTATGCCACCCAATTTCTAGACTGTCTACAGTATCCAGATTAGATAAAAAGGATCCAAAAGCAGTACTGCCTCTCTAGAGAAAAAGTGGTAATTACCTACTAAGCAGGAAATGCTTGTAAGACTTCAGACTTGAGCAGGCACAGAATCAAACTGTGAAAATACCTACCCATATAAGAGTTTACTCTATCCTCCAACTATCTGAAAAATCTTTTATGTCAATTAATATTTTCTCAAACTGAATTATTTAAGTCAGAAGAACAGCTTCGAAACTGAGGACAGCCAAAAAGACGTAACATCTAAACTAAGCACAGCTCCTTCTCTGACATCTGAACCCCAATTTAGAAAAGAAATACATTTTACAGTCTACTGTTGCCCTTTTCAGGCTATAGTTTTAAAGATTGAGCAGTGGGGAACCATCTGTCAAATGACAATTAGCCCCCCCCCAAAAAAAAAAAAAGCACTTGATAATTTACATTAATTGGCTACATTATTTACAAGGTCATATGAATCCATGTTTACAAGGCAGCAAGATATATCACAGAGAAACAAGAGAAGTTGTTTGTACCATCTATGTCCATGTTCACAAATCCCTACCATGTGGTCATCTAGTAGTGAAGAATTCATTAGTTAGATCCATCATGCTGTTGTTTAAAAAAAGGTGTTTTAAATGGCAATCTCTGTGAATTCTAATGAATCAAGTACTAATGATTTTTATCATACTAACCCAGACTTTCACCATCTTAAACTTGAAAGGAACTAGGGAAGCCTCATATTCGGTGCTCTACCGTTATCTCTTCTCATTCTTATTCACCCTGCATACGTCTGCCAGATTTATCTCCCTAAAATACACTTTGAACATGTCACTTCATGTATCAAAAACCTTAATTAGCTTCCTAATGCCTCTCACCTCAGTCTAAACTCCTTAAGCTCACCTCAAGCCTAAACTCCTTAAGCTAAGCTTTTGAAGGCCTTTTGGTACCTACTGTTACTGCTGACATCTAAAATGTCATCCCTCCGCCCCTAGGTATATCTGAAGCCTACTCATTATTCAAGACCTATATTTAACCAACTCCATGAAGTCTTCCCTCCCAAATCCTTCCAGGCCAGATTCAACACAGTTAGTCACTGTCACTAAATCTTACCCAACTAGTCTTTTGATGTAAGAAAGTACATTTATACTTTTTTGTGGAGGGGGGGGCTTTCTTTTTATCTGTATGAGATGATGATGGTAACTACACTTACTACAAAAAACATGGAACATATCACTAATTCACATGTCATCCTCGTACACGGGGCATGATAATCTTCTATTGATTCAATTTTAGCTAAAGTACTGCCAAAGCGAGCATTATTTATACTTCTTTTTAATTATATGCTGCTAAAAACACAATAGGTATTGATAAATTAATAAAGCTGGCCTGAACGGATGTAAGCCTAAAGTCAAGATAGATATATTAAATCTCTCTCCCCTACAGCACATCCAAAAAGTTAAATGCAATCACTGAACCATTTGATGCCCTCTAATTTTTAAAATTCCTTAGGTGTGTAATTTTTCTCTTCAATGAGACTGTTTAAAGTGCTTAAGACCAACATCTTCATTTTATATAGCTCTCATTTCTGCCCAGCATCTAATATAGCCATGTATGAAACTGGTAATCAGTAAATACCTACTGAATAAACGTATACCTTTTCCATTCGACAAAATAAAAACTTTTAAGTTCTTTATTTTAATATACCTTTCTTGGATTCACCATGACTAGTTAAAAGTTCAAATGGAACACAGACAGCCTATTACTCAATTAGGAACTTAGACCAGCACTACTTAAAGGCTAAATGCTATGAATTATTCTGAAATTTTTCAAGACTTGGCTATCTCCCTTGATAGGGACAGCAACTATTATTTTACTAGAACTCCACAAATTTTGCTAAAATGAGGAAGAATGCCACTTTCCTTTGCTAGAGTTAACAAAAGCATCAGCTGAAATCTGTGAGTGGGTAATACAAAGACAATAAAAAAGGGCAGCACTGGAAGTAGAAAAAAAAGAGAATTAAACACCTATAGGTTTTTAAGCCTATACAAAGTATATAGCCAATGATATGGACTTGAATCGAAGCTTATTCCATGGGAAGTACATTCCTTCCTGACCATTTATAATATAAATCTACAAATCCCATTAGTGAACAGAAGAAACAGTGGTTTCCAAATACATGTAAGTAAGTAAATCATACTGGAGAATTTCCTACACAAATCCGCCAACGATTATAGTTGACCCTTGAACACCGGTTTGAAGTGCACGGGTCCACTTACACACAGATTTTTACAGTATGCATAAATGTATTTTCTCACAATCTTCTTACTATTTTCTTTTCTCTAGCTTACTTTTATCATAAGAATACAGTATACAATACTATTAACATACAAAACGTATTAACCAACTATCTATGCTGTCAGTAATGCTTCCAGTCAACAGGCTATTAGTTTTTAAGGAGTCAACTTGGACTTTCAACGGTGCAGGAGTTGGCACCCCCAAGCCCCAAGCTGTTCAAGAGTCAACTGTACTATCAAAAAAGTATATTCTACATTACTCTTCAGCACTTCTATAAAATACTTTCTTCTAATTATACTGACCACAGAGGTACCTAAGGCCTTTTTTATTTTTTTAAGATTTTTCTCTCTACAGTTTACCATTTTACACTATTCTGAGTTGATAGCTAACCCCAAAATAATTATTCTTGACTCAATTTTGCTATGGATTAAGTTTAGGAAGCTCCTTCTCATGAAACACTAAAATTCCTAATCTAGCTAGAGTCAGAAAATATTAAAATCAACATTAACTGTCTTTTAGCCCAAGACAGGTAGATACATGCAAGGCTGCAATATACTGTCTCTTGAAAGTGTGCAGTACAAATATTTTATTCCAACTTTTTATATTTTTATAGTAACAGATTCTATTTAAAGTTGACTCATGTGGTTGTTTTTTAAGTCCATGGTTTATGTTATATAAATTTTATGTTGCATGAATTTTCTAAGAGAACTAATCCAAAAATTCAAAGTACATGGACAAACTATGTCATGTGCCCAGTCACAGGAATACAGAAAACCTAACACTCAATTCAGTGTTTAGGCCAGGACTACTAAGATTACAACTAAGCAGGGAAGTTGCAATCACAAATAATTTCTGCCATTTCCTCAATGCCTAGTTAACACCAGCACAACATAAAAATTTAGAGGAAATTTGGGCGCTGAGTATCATTATACAGTGATCTTTAAAAACACTCACCTTCAAATGACTACATTCTACGTTACACAGAGAACACAAATGTGGAAATATTCTTGGAGACGCTGCATAATAATCATTCATCATAGAGGGAGTTGGAAGTCTCTTCATCTTCTGGGCATCAGCATGTGAAAACTTTGGTAACCATGATGCTTTCACAATCCCAAAGGGCGACTGAATGGGAATGTCAGCCTCTGACTGGTAATTCTTTTTGCTTCCTCCTGATCCATGTACACTAGATGAATTAATCACAGGTTCATGTGGGATCCGCTCTTGCTGGCTTACAGCTGAAATTAATTCTGATGAAAAAGGTTGCTGGTTCATAGGTGGAGGAATAAGAGACTGATTCATTGTCTGGTTAACTGTTTGGCTAATGGATTGACTGACGGATTTTACTGGTTCAAGGACTGACTGTCCTCCTGAAATGTGTAAGCCTGACATCTTAGTTCCACTCTCAACTGGGAAAAAGGACTGATTATTAGAGGACTCACCGGGGAAGTCCATCTGTCGAAACACATCTTCAACAGGAAACATAGAATTACATATCACATTTGGAGTGGGAACAGATGCAGAAATGCTCTGTGACCGAAATTCATTCTTGACCTCATCTGTTGGAATTTCAGGATCATAAATACGTACTTCAAGTGGATCTTCTGTGTAGCCGTATTTGCTTGCATGCCCATAATCAATCACATTACTTGAAACTGCCTCATTATGAAGCGTTTCTTTATTTCTGCTCTGAGAAGGCAAATTGGGTAATCGACGCCCCATCTTTCGCATTCTTATATCCCTCAAAATTAATGGCATATTTTCAGGGGTTAGCTGTTCATCAGGATAGCGACTGAGCTCTTCTAAATCTTCATTAGATAATCCAAAACTTGCTAAGATACTTGAGGCACTCTCTTTAGTATAGCGGCTCTGCACTTGAGGACTCTGCTCTGTAACCTGTGTTAGACTCTGTTTCACTCCCACTGATGCAGATATATGAGGCTCATCATCCCACCGGCTACCATGAGGCTTCCCCTTCTTTTGTTGTACTTCATGAAAATCCAATTTTTCTTTGGTCAATCTTGGATCAGTTCGGTGTTGAGTTACCTGAACATTCATTCTCTGTGGTCCCATGTTCTGATAAGATTCATGGCCAGCAAATCTGTGCGGAATTCCACGGGCTCTCCCTGCTGGGTAAAATCTTGGAAGACCCATGGATCCAGGCCTCATAAATGGTCCTGGAGGCCTCATCCCAGAAGGGTTAGGTGCTCGTGGCCTCTGAAGTGGAAAGTTTCCTCGAGGATTAAACCTGGGTCTCGACATGGCTATTTTCAAGAAAGCCTGATTTAATAAAGTATAAGGTGGTGTTGAACTATGTGAGGCAACGGCATTCAGCTGCTGAAGCGCCAACTGAGTCTTAATCTGAGCAAAGTGCAAAGGAGATGGGCCCAACAGAAGTGGGTTTGCAATGCCCAGGTTCAAGGAATTCACAAGTGGTGCGAAATTTTCCAAGAATAACACAAAGCTGAAAGTTAAAACACAAATATTAGATCATTTTAACTCAAACTACGTCATGAAGTGGGTTCTACAGCCAGTGTAAAACATTTTGAAATAAAGCCATGAAACCATCCTCCATTTCATATACTTTTAGGGTGTTTACGAGAATTGTTAACTTTCCCAAAATGTTCTCTTCTTTCCTTTCCCGAATCCAGAACACACACCCCAAACCTCAAGCCAGAGTTCATGTACAAAGTGTTGCACTGGGTGCTGTCCTAGGTGCTGAGCAGTAATTACAAATCCTTTTACATAATCTTGAAAAACACTGGGGATTTATTTCATGCTTTGTTACTGGAAAAAAAGAGGAAGTCATTAAAATACTTAGAAATACACATATACTTGATATGTACATTAGGTTCGAACCATTAAAACAAAAACTATAAGCCTAAAATTTTACAAGACCCATTTCTCCAAGACACAGTCTTCCTTGAAATCACATCTCAAAAATTCCATATAGTAATTAGACTATGCTTAAGTTTCCGTTGTTAAACAAGTGTTTCTTTTAAGAAGAAAACTTATCATCAATAACTTGACTAGAGTCTGACAAAAGAGTGCGCAGGAGCATGGATTGATTATAACAGACAACATAATATGCAGCACAACCACCAGTCACCTTTCTCTTGGATTCCCTCCAGTGTATAGGCAAATATGTATAGATAATAACAAAGACTAAGTTTATACTATTCATGTGCCAGTGACTGTTCTAAGCACTTTACATAGATTGATTAATTTAATTCTCACAAAAACCCCTTCAAATATTAAGTTTTACAGACAAGGACGCTAAGGCACAGAAATTAAGTAACTTGCACAGATAATAAATGACTGCGCCAAGATTTGCACTCAAGATAATTTAACCCCATAACACATGCTCTTAATCACTAATAGATGTGAGCAAGAATATTTTGCAGTTCCAGACACTGTATTAAACTGGTTGCTGTCCAGCCATGAGAGCACAACACAACTCATTCTAACCTGAGTCTCAGAAAAATAGTAGTTTAGCTATCATTCAGGACCAAGGTCAGCGACCACCAAACTTACTTCCTCTCCCAGTTTTTTAAAAAAACAAAACAAACAAACAAACAAAAAAACAGACTATGCCTGTTTACCTACTTTTATACCTGACAGAAATGCACGGTGGGAAACACGAGGTCTTGAGACATCTACACTTACTGTGAAAATCCGCACTACAGATCATATTTGATGATCATCACTTTCTGGTTCAAGCTACAACTTCACCCATAAGTCCACTACATCCTTTTTTAATTTATAATGGTAGTGAAATGTTAATTTGGCTGAGAAATGGGCTTTATCTGGTTAACACACTCCCTTCTAACCATCTGTTCCAATCAAAACAAACAAAATAACTTTGCCCTGGACCGTCATGACTTACTTGATTTTACTCAATGGTCAGCCCCCATTAAACCTTTCTGACCACGAAGGTCCAAACTTTCTTATTTGTTGCTTGTACTATTTGGGATTCATACATTTTGTGTTCATATGTGTGGTCTTTTTTTAAACTATCCACT